TTTTTTTGCCTGGGGCGGCAAAAAAGCTAGAGCCGGCCCTGAGTAGGACAAGTGAGAATACTCACAAAAAGTGAACTTTTAACTCAAATGCTCAAATATTCACCAAAAGCACTTTTAAATTACAGGACTAACCAACATAACTAACCAACAGCAGGGTGAATGACACACTGCAAATTTTACACTTGAATATTTGAATTGAAGTCCAAACTTTTGTCGGTTAGTTACATAAATCATCAAACCAGGGAACAGAAAAAATATCATGTGACTTGTGAAACCAACCAATAAAAACTTGAATTCAGATGATCCACAATGCACGAATTGGGGGGAGGGATAGCTCAGTGGTTTGAGCATTGGCCCACTAAACCCATGGTTGTGAGTTCAGTCCTTGAGGGGGCCATTTAGGGATCTGGGGCAAAAAAATTGGTCCTGCTAGTGAAGGCAGGGACTGGACTTGATGATCTTTCAAGGTCCCTTCCAGTTCTATGAGATAGGTATATCTCCATATATTATAAGAATTATTTACTGACAATCATTTTAAACACCACACACATATAAGCATTTCACAATTTGTTTGTAGACAATTTGCAGACAAAGACAGATGAAATTGTTTATTCCCCTAAACCCTGCTCATGGATCCCCACCCCATTGTGCACCAGCATAGGGAAGCCATTTACTGGCTTAAATGTGAAAGAATCATTCAGCCCTACTTTGGGGTGCAAAGTGGCAGCATTTTGTGCCAGCAATAGCACCTCATAGTTTTAAGGTGGGGAAAGTGAGGAATACTGGGATCAAAAGGAACCAATGGCAGAATTTTAGGTAGACATACATAATGCCATTTGGCCAGGATTCTGGGGTTCACCTTCTGCTCTTGTGAAAAGGGCCATGAAATCTTTAAAAGAAAGGACGGCAGTTTTATCACTCAGCCATAAGATAGCATGTCCAGCGACACAGATACAGATACGCGTAACACCATGATAGGGAGTCGATTTAGAACTGAGCAAAGAGTAGCCTCAGTGAACCACCAATAGCACTCCTTGCAGCACCTGAGTTTTCCTCAGAAGTCTCCCATCCAAGTGCTAACTGGGTGCAAACTTTAGTGTATGAGCTCTAAAGAGATCTCAGTCCCAGAATGCATGATTGCAGGCTGAATGTGATGTGTATAGTGGGCTAGTTGTTCACAGACGGCACCTTTGTTGTTGCAAGCTATCCATTTCACATTTTGTGCAAACGTGACTTCCCTTCCAATGAGATAAGTGAAAACCCGGACCTGTGCAACAAGAATACAGATATAAGAATTATGCAGAAATCATCTCCCATTTGCAACAGTGCCAAGTCAGTCCAAAGAGGTGTAACATGCCACCAAATCAGAATGGTAGTGGCTTAACACCCATGTTGCAGAAGTGTAAATGACTATGCTGAAGGACAATGGAGAAATAGGGCCCTTGCCTTTACACTGATATGATTCTCTTGTTCCATGAGGACCTTGTTATCAATCACAATTAACCCAGCCAGCCAAGTAGCAATACATGGAGGCACGGAGCGTGATCAATTGAAGATGAGAACTCTTAAACACTGAGCTGGTGGTACACACTGGATTTGTTTTGGGAACAGCGGTGGAGAGGTTTGATTAACAAGCCAGAAGCAAGCATTGTGTTTGATTTCACAGTAGCAGCCAGATCCATATGCGGGTAGCTTCACCACTCATAAAAATTCTTAACCCATGGAAATATTTAACCACATAAAGCAATTAACGGGACACTATCAGGTTAAAATTCATCTGTTTTCAGAGTGTTCTCATTCATGTGATCAATAACAATTTAGCTTATTTAAAATGAAACAATATTAAAAATCAAATCTGCTTTTTGCTCTTTCTGCTGTTTGTTTCCCTTGTGCATTTCCCTCAGCTTGGACAAGGAATACAAATGAGTTACTTTGGTTTAGAATCAGTTCTTATTCTTTTTCAGTTCCAGGTCCTGATTCAAGGTTGTAAAGGCTGAGTTGCAAATAGAGCTGGTTGGGAATTTTTTGACAAGACAGTTTTTTGTCAGAAAATGCCTATTAGCTGAAATTGAAACTTTTCATGGGAATGTTCCATTTCCAATGAACTTTCCTCAAGAAAGGTTACTCAGGTTCTCTAGGATATCCAGGTACAAGCCTCTGCCTGAACCAGGCAGAGCAAGGACTACGAACCTGGGTCTCCTACACCCAGGAGAGTGCCCTAACCAGCAGACTATTGGCTATTCTGGGGTAGGTCGGTGTCTGTCTGTCTTTTCTTTTTTCTTGGAAAAGTCTTGGATTCATCCCAGTGTATAACAGGACAATATCTTGAAATCTCAAAAAATTCTGCAGGACAGGAAAAACCCAACCTATTGTACAGTTCTATTGTAAATACTGCATAGAGATGTTCAGTTATTTATTTATTTAATAAAACATGTTTCATTCTGGAGGCTAGTGGAGTTTTTATTTGTTGGTGGTGGTCTGTGGCTTTTTTTGTTTTTGTAAACCAGAAGAATGTTTCTATTGTCCTCAGCTTTTGAAATAGCCGTTTTTTAAACCTCTTCCCCCCCCCTCACCCCGTCCCCGCCCAACACACACACACATTTTGGGCCAAACTTGATCTGACAGTGTCCCTTTAAAATCATAGCACCTTTATAATCCCCTCACCAACCTATTGTCTAGCTGCTTTGTGTTGTATTTACAGTAGGGAGCATGTGGAGGCATGGGTATGTGAGTATACATACTTGGGTATGTGGTACTTTCTATTCACTCCATGCCAGGATGGTCACTTTCCTTCCCCTCCCCCGCCGCCTTTATTCATCCCTTTTGAGACAAACCTTACGATCAGGCCAGTTGTACTTTTCAAACACAGATTCATAATCCTCCACGGCTCCATCTGTGATCAGCATGATGGCTTGGTTACACAGGCCTCCTTGCCCAGCCTCTCTGAACTACAAATGGAGAGGAACAGCAGCATTAGTAGCCTCAGCATTGCCATAATTCTTATTGCTCTACATTTATTTATAACAGGCCAGATCCTGAGCTCCTTATTGAATTCTTACCCAGGCAAAACTCCCAATGACTTCATAGAGCATTTTCCCTAAGTGAAGACTAAGCTTTGGTGCTCTGTATATTTTTTATTTACACGGCGCCTATCATCATATGCCGTATCTAGGTGCTTTACAAAAGTTAAAATAACATGAAAAAAAAAAGAGTGCTGGGCACAACGAGCCTTATTGCCTACTGCCCTGTACTGTGCATTGCCATCTACACTTGTAATACGCAGGCATGGAGTGGGGGTAAAACACCCCCATCCTGAGTTGGTAGCCATTGGCACTCACTTTGTACAGCTCTGAATGAGTACAAAAGGCACAAGCTAGTGGACAATCCAGCCCAATGTCTCAGGCACAGCCAGTCACTCTGCCAAGGGAAAAAAGGAGGGCAAAATGGTCACAGGTGGAAATAGAAAGGCTGTATACTGAGCATGGCAGAGGACCTGGTATGTGTCAATAAGTGATATTTAATATGGAGTATAATTATGCTAAGAAAGTCTACAAGCTGTATTTCTAAATGCAGACAAAGAGGTGAGGCGTGAGTATCCCCAAAGAGCAGGCTGGGAAACTGCCTGCTTAGCCAGGAAGATAAACTTTTGAAAGCTGGTTTTAACTAACATCCTTAAAAGACCTGCTTCCCCTCCCTAGACCATCAACCTGAGGATGGGGAACACAAACTATTGTTGTGTGTCTCTGCCTAGTTGTGGGTGGAACAGACAAGTAGGTGGTGCATACAATCCTGAATGGACCTAGGATACACCACTTTGTTGGTGAGGGGGCAATCTAGTGTGATAATAAGCTAAAACCACAAGATAAGCACCTTTTGTAAGAGACATGGATGTAATCAGGGCTGGCTCCAGGCACCAGCCCTCCAAGCATGTGCTTGGGGCGGCACCTGGAGGGGGGCGGCGCTCACCTGGGGAGAGCGGGGCCGTGGCTGGGCTCTCCGCCCTCCCCCCGGCGCTCCGGCCGGCAGGGAAGAGCGGGGCCACCCTCCCGCAGCGCTCCGGCCGGTCGGGTAGAGTGGGGCCCCGGCCGGGCTCGCCGCCCTCCCCTGCTGCGCTCCCCGCCGGGGGCCGGGGCCGGCAGAAGGCTTTTTTGCCTGGGGCGGCAAAAAAGCCAGAGCCGGCCCTGGATGTAATAAGGAATTCTGAAAAACCCTTTTAACCATCAAAGCACTCAACCCACACCCACAACTTGAAAAACAGGTCCTGAGAGACTCAGGGCTTCTCTAGATTAGGAAAGAGGTCGAGGTTAGGTCAGGGTTAGCAAATGTGTCGCTAACCCCCACCTAACCTCAAGTTTTTTCCTAATGAAAACAAATCCGAAAAGGAGAAACGCAGGAAGACAAGGAACAGGGATGAATTGCTGGCGGGTGGCCTCTGACAAAAGAAGTTTGGGGAGTGGACATTGCTGTCTAGGAATGTAAAGTATTTCCTTCAATTGTTCTGTGACTGAGATGAGAGCACCTCATCTGGTGTATTTTATGAGAAGTTTAAATTTAGATATATGTTCTTCACACTGGTTCTTTTTGATTTACTACAATTTTCTCTCTATTTTCAATACAACATCTTAGGCTGGTTTGGTTAATTTCTCTCAGGCTGCACCACAGAGAGCAAAAACCCATAATCTCTAAAGGCTGGTCCACACACCATTTTGTACCAATGGAACTACATCTGTTTAGAAACCGATCCCCTGACGGTGGATGTAGTTATACTGGTATGATGGTGTCTACACTGGTAGGTTTTATTACTTTAACTATACCAATACAGCTAGAGTGGTACAAAAACTGTGTGTAGACCAGCCCATAGGAGAGTAAGCGAACAGGAAATGATGTCTGAGATTCTAACTTCACTCTGAGATCTCAGTCCAAAGGGCAGAGGTATCCTCTCCCATCTGGTGTAGGTGAACACAACAAAGAAGCCTAAGGACTAAAGAGGAAATGTGTACTAATGGGGCTGGGAGGTGGGGCAAGAGTATAGGTGACACTAAGCCTTAATATAGCTACAGAAATATTTTGGCAAATACCCTCAGGAAGGGAGCTTCCTAGAAGGGGTCCCAGATGAAATCTTGGGATGGAGAACAAAGAACAAACTACTTCTCCAGCTATGAGCCTTTAAGGCAAATGGAGTCAAGAAAACTTAATAATTTTATTTAGTACTAGCAAGACCTTGAATTTAATCTGTTGATTATCAGCAACCAGAGCAAACTGCAGAGGCTTTCCCTACATCAAGGAGTAAAAATGAACAGCTTCTTGGCTGCAACTTCTCGATTTCAAAGAGCACCTCCTCCTCTTACAAACTATTATGATTGGAGCAATGGAAGGTCTGTCCACTGAGGAAGGTTACACAAACTCACATAGATCAAAATGTAAAGGAAGGAAGACATGATAGCTCTGTAGTAAAGATAAATGAGAGGCAAGCAACTGCATGAAATAGAGCATGTGTGGGAGACTAATTTAAGGCTGACTAAGGGTGTATCACCAGAATAATGGCTTTAAAATAAAGAATGGCAAATTCAGCTTAGACATAAGAAAAAAGATTAAGAGCAATATCAGCAACATAGACCATTGGGCATGGGGAGAGAGTGCAGAGTATAAACTGGTACTTGTGCAGTGCTTAGAGCTTAACCTCTGAAATCCCTTCCATGTCTAACCTTGGCCATTCTGTATTTAGATGGAAAAGTATCTTGACCAACCTGGGTAGTATAATGATGCCACTGCACCTATCACCACCACCAGCAGTGGGACACTCCTTGTGTCAGCTCCACATTGCTGTAGTCAACATTGACACCGTCACTCTCATGTCACCACTACCAACATCATCTGCCTCAATAACATCCTCCACAACATTGCTTTCCTCAGTGCCAACACCACTGTGATGGCGCCATTACTGCCATTAACCTCATCATTATTACTTTCATCATAACCACTGCTACTATCACATCACCACCATTTTATACCATCACCAAAGCCACCATCTCTTCCATCTCCCTCATCAGCACCCCGATACCACCAAAGTATTGGTTATTCTACCATGATGAGAGAGGATTGGACAGCCTCTATTTGACCACTGTAGAATTTCATGTGTAGAACTCTTTTCCTCTCCACCTATATAATAACCCCTTTACTCATGTGGTATTTTTATTTGGTTTTTATAAAGTAGTTGTTACATTTATTTACTGTGATCCAGTATGCAGACCCCCAAAGGTCTCAGCGGGAGTGAGAAGAATGGTTTATATATAAAATTATTATTATTATTGGACCACATGTGGAAGTCTTTGCTTAGTTTTTAAACAAGTTGTTACTCAGACAAACTTTCACTGGAGTCAAAAAGACACCACTGGTAAAAAAATAAAGGGTCAGATTCTTAGGTCTGCTCTGCCCTTTTTGCATCACCTAAGCAGCACAAAAGGAACAGAGGCCACTGGTAACTCTGCTGTTGGGGATACCCTGGGCATAGCCAACTCCCCTGCCTCCCTCCACACAGCCCACAGAGCCCAAGGTTTTCAGGTGTTGCTTGAAAATGAGAAAGTGGATATTGAGATGGGTGTCCAGAGGTCTGGAGCTTCACACCCACAGGCCACCACGGAAAAAGCATCTCCACCTGAATGATGGTCAGACTCCTAAAAGGCAGGAGGAATCAGAGATACCTGTCAGGAACAAAGCTTAAGGTGGACGCCTGGAATGGAGCCAGGCATCAGGAATGATGATGCTCCTAGGTGCAGATGGAAGTTAGAGATAAAAATGTTAAAAGTCATTGAGTTATGTTAGAACACAGGGGAAATCAAGACTGAGGTCTGCTATAGGGTCCCATTGTATTAGGAAGAAGGAATGGGTGAGCTACACCTTGAACAGATTTCAAGTGTGTCCAGATGAGAAGCAATGGTGGACTTTAACTACTTAGCTGTCTCTTACATTAATACAGTGAAACCAAGATCATCCAACATTTCCTTGAATTATTAAGGGGACAACTTAATATAGCTTAGTTTAGATCTGATCATGACCAACAGGAAAGAATTAGAGACCTGGAAATTGCATGTAATGTGGGAGCCAGAGACCTTGTAATGATACAGTGCACAGTATTAATAGGGGAAGGTGAAATCATCAGCATAACGATAATGGAGGTAAAAGGCAGATTTTAAAACCAACAATTAAGGCCTGCTCCTGTAGGTCTTTTTGCAATGTGCTATGGGGACTACTTAGTTGTAGCGAGTGAGCAGAGGCTATGAGCAGGCACCATTCAGGTGAAGTTCTAGGTGCAATCCCCTGCACTGAGTGGAAGTAAGTCCCAAGACCCTTGAGTGTAACCATAAGGGTGCCCAAAAGTGTGTGTGTGTGCGCGCACATGCGTGCGGGCAGGGGAGGGCACAGATTGTGCATATTTGAAGAGATATAAGCTTGCTGAAGTGTAAGCAAATGAGGCACTTAGCTATGTGTTTCCCTCTTTGGCCATAGTCTTCTTACCACGAGTAACAGTCATACTCTGATTTATTCAGGATCAGATTCCCATGCACTCCTTGTTTTGCTCAACATTTTTTACTTTGCATTTGTAAGTGCAACACTTTGCATCTGTGGCATTCAGGACCAAGACCTTAGTAGGAGGTGTCTCCTGGGGAACGAAACTAAAGGACTCAGGGGAGCTGGAAGCTAACAGAGCAGAGAAGGAAAAGCAAGGTAAAAGCAGGACAAATAAAAGACCACTTAAAGAAAATGGAAAAAACTAGGCAATTGTGTCTGTGTATAAGAAGACATATCCTGCAAAAATCAACGGCACAAAATAAAGCACTGTTAGCAAAGGATGTAAAAAGGAGCAAGAAACTTTATAAATACATATAGTAAGAAGCACGAAAACGAGTAAGGAAAGTATAGGTCCACAACTTATAAAGGCTGGAGAACA